CAAGGGCAATGTTTGTTGTAGATGTTGTTGCAACCACTCATTCCAAGATTTTGACCGTTAATCGAAATGAGGTATATAATTTTCGAATTCGTCAAGTCATAGTTGTTGAACATAATACTAAAACGCTTTCTTTGTTTGTAGGCCACGCTTCCTCGTTACCTAATTTTATTCCAAGCCAGTAGAAAACGTACCGCGTCCCAAAGTACCTCGAGCGGCGTGCGTATCAAACGATGTAAAACTGTCTCAAAAGAGCAGCAGCTTAATTTCCGATAGTATTTATTCGTTTCATTGCTTTGAGTGACGTGTAAATTATTTTTGGGTAAAAAATTATTTAAATAAATTGGGATTTAGTGTTTGCACCATATTAAACTAGGATAGTAGTTAAGCCGTCGGGCACAGATTGTTAAAACAATAACCTCTAAAATTGTTTAGTTTGTTGACATTTGGTCTTTTGATTCGATGTTAACATTGTAACATTGTAACTGTAACTGCAAGAGCTTACTAGAAATGTATAAGGGGCTCTTGTAAATCATTATGTAGATACTGCACTTGGATAAATTTCCGCCCGAGTATTGATGAATTTATTCACGTGCGATGTGTCAATCTACAGCATAAACATGTTACACGAAAACGGGTCCCATAGTTTAATGAACATCTATTTCTGTGATACCAGCGACGATTGATTGTATTGGCTATTATGCGTATTATTGTCTGGTTAGCAAAAGTGTCTGATTTGCCGAACCAATGTGAAGATTGTCTCGGTGAAGTCATAAACATGAGAAGGATAGAAGGGTACAGTTTCCATTTCCTAGCGTAGATCTTGATTTGAGTTTATGTCACGGTATTTAGTAGAGGCAGATTCTGCAATAGTAAAATTCGTATTGCGATCCTCATTACAAGTATTCGGATTAATTTAACGTCAGAGATTGTGCAACAATGTCGATGCACACACAGATATGCAGTATTCGATTTTCATCGCGTCGATTTTCATAATCGTAGGATCGTCTATACAGACCTGGACACCAAGCTGTCAATAACGCAAATATCGATCCATAGTAAATCTGATGCCCTTCGTTGATCACATTATATTTATACATAAAGCCAATTATTTGTTACAATGGATGCTTTCAAAAATTACAATACAATTCTTACATGAAAATAAATATTTAGGCGTAATACAATCTAAGAATTATTAGATGTTTCATCGTCACAGCTTATAATGCTACTGCTATTGTTGCCGTTGCTGTATGAAAAATAGCTAATAATACTATTGTCTTTCTTACTCATCAACTGTAGCGGATGAGCATGTTTTCGATGGTTCACTGTCCGGTTCCAATCAAAGTCAACTAAAAATACTCCGGTTACAGGCTTATGATCCGAAAATCCCAATACGTCCATATGGCTCGTATATCTTATAACTTTGGCATCCTTGTCAGGTATTCTTGTCTTGAATAATATACGATCCGTCCAACTATCCCCATTTCAATTAGAAAAAAGTTTAATTCATAATACGTACACGACCTATTCGCACCAAATTGCCATTCATACCTTGGAACGCGATTCTTCTCGCTCGTATCATATCTTGCAGGCGGAGGCTGAACAATGGCAGGTGATGACAAGCAGTGCGGTAGCGGACCGCTATGTCTATAATCTTCATGGTCAGTTATATCAAACTTGAACGTTGGAGTAAATCCTATTGGCGCTTCATGAAAGTTCTTGAATATGGGGTTATTCTTCATTTCCTCTAGTAACTGATCATGTTCTAGCAACGTCTGGAAATAAAAGTAAAACGTGGAAGGATAAAAACGATTGCAGATCGTTGGAATATAGACGGATTGTTTGATAAGTAAAATTGCTTACTTTAATATCTTTGGCTTCCAGACGTTCGTCAACTTCAGCCCTTTCCAGATTTACGCGGTAGTTCATATCACCAAACCAGAAAATGTAATCAAAACGATCAGTGACATCCTGTGCTGATAAAACAAAATAATTAATATTCCGATATGATCTCTGTACAAGTGGAACTTAGTTACCAACCTTTATCGGTCTTATTAAATCCTTTCAATCTTAATTCTCTCTGTATTTTCTTTACATTATTGTTTCTTTGTTTCAGTCTTCCCTTATTAGCTAATTTACGTCAGAATTTAATTCGTCACAAACACCCCAGACATTCTATAAATCTTACCAGCTAAATGACTATTTATAAATAAAAAGGACGTGTACCCAAATAGTATGGATATTCCAACTGCTCCTTTATTACCAAACAAATTGGCTATTCCAGTAGCTACTGAAGCATGTTGTATGTCTATCAAACACAAAGATCGTGTTATTCCCGTCCTTGCCCACAGTCATACGACTTATACCAACCTATTATCCAGTCTACACATTTGTTCCATACAAATACAGCCTATAATTACAGTGTTAGCATTCATCATAAGACATAGAATGCACGATCCTGAACTCAACCATTCCCCACTCACCAAATGCAACGCAGCCATAGTTTCAGTCTTTACCAGTTTGTATGAATGGCCCAAGTATTCACAGAGCCTATTTTCCCATATCTCCTTTGACGGAAAGAATACCGAATGACTAATATTATGCTGACATTCTTGCGTTCCGATCACGAGAAGATGGTATGGATGTTCGGCAAACGGAGAACAATAAGGCCTGTCAGATTCGTCTGGTGCCTCATGGTTGGGTCTCTCGCAGAATGGTGCTAGATTCGGTGGAGGAAGCTGGCAAGTTTATACAAATAGCGGGGTGTGTGTCAGTGCGTATGTTTACATAATGGGGCCTTTTGTCATGATGATCATTATAATACCTTGCCGTGCATGTTCCATGTTCCAATAAAAATCTTAATCTTATTATATTCGACCTTTTTCTCTTCTTCTTTACACTCGATAACTTTTCTCTTTTTTCGCAAAGCGATCCAAGGATGAACCAAACTCCAGATAGTGGTCATGTTCTTTGCATGCTTTTCCCGACATTCGACTGACGACTCGACTCCCTTTTGTTCACAAAAAGTTGGTGGCATGCAACCACGTGTTAACTGCAACATCAAGAATGTACTGCCCCTGTTTTCTTTGAAGAATCTTCCAATGCGCCCTGTCAGATATAATCAGCATTGTCTGGTTTTACCCTTGAAAGCATTCGTCTACCATTGATACCACGCTTGAGCCTCATTATCAAATAGTCGTTTGTTTACATGAAATGTGTGCATAGTTGATACGGAGATGAGCTTCAATGTAATGGCTCGTAGAACATTCTGTATGATAGCATTCGGCCAACTCATTGAATAATTTTCCAAATGGGCGATTCCTAATGGTTATTCTTCTTTTGAAGGGAGTAACAAATGAGCATCCGAAAGTTGACTACGGATTCAACGATATAGTGTCACGCCCTCTATTTCTAGCGTTCGATATCTTGTTTTTGAGACCATGAGACTCAAACTCATATCATTGCAAAAGTGTATTCTATAATATATTAGCATCAATATTTATCATCTATGAGTGGGTTATTCTTATACAGCGTGATATCGCTACATTAAAACAACTTAGTATAAAGACCATTTCTCAGTGAATACCTGTTGACGCGAATAACTCTAAAGAGGATGATGTTTATCACAATGAAAGCATTCACTTGTCATCACATCCATTAATCAAAAGGATCAGTGTATGTCTAACTAGACGTTAATACATGTCGGTCTGGATGGTCAGTGTATCAATGTTATGGACAACCGAAGTCCACTATTACGAATGACTAGCGTAAAAATGGATGAACGATATACTATAACCCAAGTTTTCTAATGCAAGTATGAGCGATTTGTCCAATTATTGATTCGTTAAGATATTTAAATATGGATGTTGTGATGTAGTATTGTGTTGTCTTTTTATATTCGTTGAAATTGTTCACTACAAGTAATTGCCCAAATATTATGCCTATTTGAAATTTTGACATTTAAAGATAATAATAGTGAGCCTGAAATTTTTTATGTTTCCTGTTTTTTAACAAAAATATAATTGCCAGCACGTAGGTTAACTCATATTATGAATAAAAATGGTGCGGCGAAGGTTCGTAGAATGGTCGTAACTTCTATAAAAAAATATATGTGCAGCTTTGAGCAACGGCCAAAAACTCGTTAATTAGATGCGTCTGTATAATAATAACGTTTTTACTGATTAAACCAGGAAAAAAACCCTTTATGTTAATAGTACACGCGGACCAGTTTATGATTTGAGTTCAGAGACTCATATATGACGGCGATAAAAAATAATGTGTTAACGCGCGTTTGCTATCATTATTATGTTATTTTATGAGAAAGTAATAAAAACATCTACTTTAGTGGACTAAACTATGGTATAAACAAAATAAATAAAAAAAAACTCTTAAGGCATTGAACATAGAACTGAAACGCAGATTATAATTAAGATTGGAATAGTAATAGGGTGCGATCGACAACAGTACCCGTGCGATATAACACAAGGAATGATAACGATAACTCCCTTTCTGGAAACGTTCTTTACTCAAACAATGTCGTTAGTTCCAGACGTTAATTATAATCCAGAGCTTAACAACTCGGTTCAGGTCTCCTTAGAAAGTAAATGTGAAGAATTAGGACTTGAATGGATTTCTTGTTCGCAAATTACCGACATACAGTCAAGTCCAATAGACGCTATCTACATTGCTATTCACCGCCGCGATTATGATGAGACGATAACGCTGGTATTACTTGGAAGTAGCGAAGAATGCGTACCAACACTTGTGAGTGAGTTTGCCAGAATATACTCACTTCCAACACACAAGTACGATAATGATGATAATAACTTTAGACGATACTCCGAATGGCTTTCTCGTCGCAACGAACTCATAAAGGGATTTACCAAGTCTAATGACGATAACTATTACATGGTTGCTCATAAACGCTTTTACTATTGTTATTCTCGATATGGCTTCTGCTCCACATGTGGAATACTCCGATGTAGTCCCGTGTGGTGCATTTG